AATGGGGTGGGGGAATGGTGTGCTCTCTACAAAGCAAGTTGATCCTTTATAAATAAGATAGAGTGCACTGTTACATGCATGCCCACACATTATGAGAGAGTGTAAAATTGTGCATCAAAACAATGCCCTTCACATTTATGAATCATTAAAAAGGCAAGATACAACAAAAGGATAATACAAAATATTGTGAAGAGGAAGATCATAAGGCAGTTTCAGCCTTTCCTGGTGGTAAAACAACAAACTATAAAACATGATACAATAACACAACTATTGTCCATACTGCAGGCATTAAATGTTTTCTGATGTAATAGGTTTCTCTTATACATTTTTGGGCCTCCATCGTAACAGTCAATTAAAATACTGAAAGTCAATCAGCAGATATGAGCTGTCCTTGCAGGGTCGTTGTAACAGAAGCCGCAAAACTATGGCTGGCTCTAGCGGGAAAGTTATAAGTGGGCAGATGTTGGCTGCAGTCTGAGAGCAGAGGTTACTAGCACTTACTTCTTCCCCAGATAAGCCTTCTGCAGCTGTTTCCTCAATAATTGTAGAAAGAGACTTTTATCCTTCTTTGCTTTACCAACTTCCTTTGTGGGCTTTTCAGTTTCCTTTGTCGGCTTCTTAGTCTCCTCGTCTGGGGTCGTACTTTCTTAAAGTGCAAGGCGTGCACCCAGGAATCTAGATCTTGACACTTCACAGCAGTGTTTGTAGTCAACACTGACTACAACGGTCCCTTCCAACGAGGAGCTAAGCAATTTTTCTTTGAAATATTTTTATCAAAATCCAGTCGCCCACGTCCAAGGAATAACACGGATGCAAAGGTTCTTTAAGCAAGGCAGCTGTAACCTGAGTGGCAGTTCTTGAGGGTAAGAATAAGAGCTTGACAGAATCCAACATATGAATGTTTTGTAAATGAGGAGAAGAAGGGGGGTGGGATTTCATGTGGCGACACTCCGGTTTGTTTAGATGGAGTGGCTCTTGTAGACATGAGAGTGAACAGTAGACAATCGGGCCATTTGAGGTTGGTTTCATTGCAAAGCTTAGCAATTTTGATTAATTTATTTTTAAGTTGGAGTTAAAACATTCCACTTTTTCTGACGCTTTCGGGTGGTAAGCAATCGAACGTTGAAAAGTTCCTCAGGTACAGGCAGCTGGGGGTGGGGGTGGGGGGGGGCAAGCAGCCTTTTCTTTCAAACAGTCCAAAACTCCTTTTCAATCTCTGTTGCCAAAAACAGGTCATCCACATATGGCAAAAGAGTGGTCTTATGAGGGTCAAAACTCCTCAGGTCGGCAAAAAGGGCAGCGGCAAAAATTGTTGGGCTATTTTTATAGCCTTGGGGAAGTCTGGTCCATGTGAGTTGACATTTGTGGCTGGACTCAGGGTCTTCCCACTCAAAGGCAAAATATGCTTGACTCTCAACAGCCAAGGGGATGCAAAAGAAGGCATCCTTCAAATCAATGACTGTGTACCACTGCTGGCGATGGGAAAGGGTAGTCAGCAGGGAATAGGGGTTGGCCACAAAAGGATGAAGAGCCTGGATGCGAGCATTTACTTCTTGGAGATTCTGGACCCTTCTCCAAGAACCATCAGGCTTGGGTACAGGGAAAATTGGGGTTGACCATGGCGACTGGACAATTTTTAAAATGCCATGATCCAAAAATAGTTCAATGAAAGGCTTTATTCCCAATCGTGCCTCCCTTTTAATTTGATACTGCCGTACGGATACTGGACTGACACCTGGCAACAACTTAGGCATATGAGGCATGGCAAACTTCACAAACCCAGGTATTCCCTGGTACCAAATGTCTGGGTTCACTCCTTTTAAGGGAAAAAGTTTAATTATTGCTGCCTCAAGAAAACATAAAAAGACTCTATCTGGTGGGATTTCCAGGCTTACCCCCTCTGGGGTACATTGGAGTGAAGCTCCCAATTTTCCAAGGAGGTCACGTCCCAGAAACATTTACGGGACATTGAGGCAAAACTAAAAAAGGAGTATTCCAAAGAGGGGCCTCTTGTGTTGGATACTTATAAAGAAACACTCTGGGGTGCTTTTTCAGATTTTCCAAAAACTCCCAGTCTTCTGCTGTTTTTAACACTTGTCTTTTATCTTCAGCACCCAAAAATGCAGCTAAAAGGGTAAACATGTCCGGCACGTTGGGCCGGTGGGTAGCAAGAATACGTTGGACCAGTTCCACATACTGTTGGGGTGCCTCCCTATAGGGTGGCAGTCCTTTTTGCCAATTAAAAATCAGTGGTCATAAAAGGTATATGTACAAAAATTAAATTATCCCCCAAAGGAACTTGCCGAAGGGGTGCCATCGTAGTAGACATGGCAAAACTAGGGGGCCTGTACGACTGACCCACCCTAGTGTGGGATGGACTGGCAAGTTTGACTATTTCCCCCAAAAACTGAGGTGGCAGAAAAGGCGGGGGTACCAAGGCTGGCGAAGGCGGCACCACTTGGGGTACTATTGGAGGCGCACTTGGTCCTCCATATGGTGGTGGAAATTCCTCCTCTGGTTCTTCAAAAATCAGTTGCCCTTTTTCTTCCAATTTCTGTTGTCTCGGGCAGACAGGGCAAACAGTTGATTGAATTGGGGAAAGACTACACTGTCTTTCCGTATGGCCAAATTATAAAAGAAACTCAATTATCTTCTTCGACCTTCTTGTGTTCCGCAAGGTAAACGGAAAGGCTTTGTATGATTTCAGGGTCTATAGTGCCCTCGTTTGGCCATGGTCATCGTTGAAAGTCCAGAAAATAGGAGGGCCACATAACTGAACACCAAGTCTTCAATATAGGCTTTTTAAAGTTTGTTTCTACTGCCAGTCTGGGTTTCAATGTATTCCAATGAGTCAATATACACTCTAAAGGGGTACACGGCTTCCTCATACCCGGGCCAACTCTACGGTTGGCGTTACACATGGCTCCTCAGGAAATTTCTCAGGTCCGGGCTGATTTGGGGTGACCCCTTCGCCCATTTCTCGGGTTCTGTCAGTTGCGATGGGGGCAGCGCCTCCCAGCAAGCGCTGGCAACTTTAAAGACTGTTCCCACAAGCAGGCTGGCTGGGGAATTCTGGGAGTTGAAGTCCACCCATCTTAAAGTGGCCAAGGTCAAGAAACACTGCAATAGAAAGTCACTTTCACGGAGCACAGAATTAACCTCTAGAATTCATGATCACAAGAGGCAGCAGCGACCCCTTTCAAAGGGGATTGGAGGCATTGCAAAAAATATTGCAATGATATTAAGAGCCAGTTTGATGTGCAGCGATTAAAGGCAGGGGACGTTTTGAGAAAGAGTGTCCTTAGCTTCTTCTACATGGCTCTAGAGAGCAGTGTTTCTCAACCTTGGCCACTTTAAGCTGTATGGACGTCAACTCCCAGAATTCCCCAGCCAGCAGGCTTGCTGAGGAATTCTGGGAGTTGACGTCCACCCATCTTAAAATTGCCAGGGTTGAGAAACACTGAGAGAGAGAGAGAGAGAGAGAGAGACAGACAGACAGACAGAGATATAGATATAGATATCTATAGATACAGATATCAAGGGGGAGTGACAACGTCTCCTGTTACTACATCTGCTGCAAGGGTGCCTTATTCTGCAGCTTGGAGCCAAGGCACGCTTGGGGGGCGACCACCCCCCCGGTGAGATTTCTGCCTGCCACTCCTCCTTCCCGGTGGAGGCACCGAGGCTTAAGGGTTAAGCTGACCGAGATCCACTTCCCAGAAGGGAGGAGAGAAGCCATTGGAAGAGGGTGCG